ATTACTGCGTTGCCATGAACAACATTGAATATTAAATATCATTGACCGATACGAATTGAGAACTCCAGAGCGCTGCGTAATGAATCAATCCTGATGCATTTGCAGTGCAAGCATTGTTGACAACAAACATCATCTGGAATCAAAATAATTAAGAATGGTATAATTTATACACACCTACAACTGAAAGTTATTTCCATGCAATTAAAATAAGACATCTTGCCCTGTTCGATTTAGACAGATGCATTGTGGTCCTTTCCCATGAATGGTATTTTCACACAAACACCATGCACTATCTAATTGAGTGATTACATGGCTGTTACTTCTTTTGAAAACAGAGACAAATCAGCGTGGCCTTACTTTGCCAACCACGCAGGGAGCAAGAACACCAATTATCTGGCATTACGTGACGGTTGGCAGCTGTGGGACGGAAAAAACTTTAGGAATGTGTGGCAGCAGAATGAAGAAAGCTGTTTGTTTTAATCAAAGGCAAAAAAGGTCCCAAGGTCTCTGTATGAATCCTTCCAGTTATGCAACATAATTCAAGATGGAATTGGGTATGTATCATTCATCAAGCCACAGCTTACGTAATACGCCACACTTCACATAGAGCGCACAATGAACGCTTTCATGAATATTTCAGAAAAAGGAATCTATTATTCAGGAGAAGGAGAGAGTTTGTGAGCGAGTTTGAACCTGTGAGATGGATCTAGATGTTTCACAGCACAGAGAGCTTTAACTTTTGCTTTAAGCTTTTCTATAAACTCTTCAAAAGTAAACAAACCACTGGTGAAAAACCAAACCAGAATGAGACACCGACTACAACTACAACTTGGCTGTGCTGCTGAAATAAAGCAGTTCTCCTTCAAACACAGTTGATCGTTCTTGCCTATATTTTTTGTAAAATAACTTATGTAATAATAACTAACTATATGGCAAAAAATCAAATGAGAGAATGCACGAAGAACACAATAGGAGCTACTTTGTGTGAACTGGATTAGGAGTTTATTTTGCATTGTGGACAGAAATGGATGGATTGAAACTGTTTGCCTTTTATGCCCAAAGACCAAAGCTCTCATCAATGTGCTCTCCCATCCATGGAGAAAACATTTGATCAGCTATTCAAGTTGTTCACATAATCCATATCCCCAGTGGTCGAGCATGCGCTGTGAATATTTAATCAATGTATTCAAAACACTGAAATATCCTTTCTTTTCCAATTTCTGTACTGTCACGCCCAACTGCTTTCGCATCAGTTAACTCCCTACAGGCAAAACACTGCATTTGAGTTACTCTGGAACACAAAGGGAGAAGCACTATGTCTTGTTCTAAGTAAATAGCACTCCGGTTTTTGCTCATAAAGGGCCTTGTAGGATTAATATACAAACTTTAGCATTTTACAAAATGTCCCAACTTTTCTGGAAATAGTGTTGTAATTGATATTTGATAAGCATGGTCCTAATGATAATAAAAGAAAGACTGGAAAACCATGAATATGACTTTTTCAGTAATTATTGATCATGTTTTTAAAGTAAGAGCCATATTGTCTCAGGCGAATTAGTCTATTTTTGAAACAAAAATAGCCAAGAGGGACTTTAATACTACTACTTTAATTACTATTTTAATATGTAATAATCTTTAATGTCTTGACATTAAACATCTGACATTTAAATTAGTTAAGAATGATTTACTTTAAGTGGACTAAAAGCTACATTAACATAAGACACTATTCCATTACAGAATCACAAAAAACACCACAGATGATTTTATAATAATTTGGGCCTTTTGATCCAAACAAACTTTATGTATGTATGTATGTTACTTTAAAGTAATGATTTAATGGAGGAAGGCAGAACTCAGATTTTTTTTGACTAGTGCAATGTTCCTTGCACACTGAGTCTCATAGGTTTAGATCCTGTTGGTGACGCCAAGTTTCTGTTCAGAGGCAGCATGACTTCGCAGCGCCACCATCAGGCTCTGGCACCTGAAAGGATTTTCCTCCTCCATACTGAGACACCGCTCTTGATTGCATAACAATATGGAGCCGCCCGTGGCCACTCCAGCAATGGTGCTGGGCCATAAACAATAACAGCATGGCACATAAATGCCTGCCAGTCTCAGCTGAAGGCACGCTGCTCAACAGTGTGCTTGCATGTAATAACACTGAAATCCTTCATTTGGTGACAAAATTGAGCAAAAATGTATTTCAACGGATCTAACAATTGTCACAATTTAAAATTTCCTGAAGATTTCGAATGATCATAAAATATATGGAAATATCACAATTTAAGTCTACAAATAGAGGAAACAGTGCATACTTGTGTTATGCAAAAACTTAAGGGGACAGTTCATCTAAAAATGAAAATTATGTAATCATTTACTCACCCTCATGTCATTCCAAATCTGAATGACTTTCATTCTTCTGTGGAACACAAAAGAAGATATTTTGAAGAATGTTGGTAGTCAGTTTTGGTTCCCATTGATTTTCACTGCATGGAAAAAATAATACAATGAATGTCAATGGGAACTGAAACTGTTTTCTTAAAGGGTTAGTTCACCCAAAAATGAAAATTATGTCATTAATGACTCACCCTCATGTCGTTCCAAGCCCGTAAGACCTCCGTTCATCTTCGGAACACAGTTGAAGATATTTTAGATTTAGTCCGAGAGATTTCTGTCCCTTCTTTGGAAATGTATGTACGGTATACTGTCCTTAAGGAAATAAAGACATCATCAAAGTAGTCCATGTGACATCAGTGGGTTAGTTAGAATGTTTTGAAGCATCGAAAATACATTTTGGTCCAAAAATAACAAAAACTACGACTTTATTCAGCATTGTATTGTCTTCCGGTTCTGTTGTCAATCCGCATTCAGTGACGCTGCTGACGTAAGACGCTGCTGACATGTTCTGGTGTGTCCGTGTATTCGGGTTCAAATAAATATGGCTGGGCGAAAAAATGCAAATCTTCCTCTGTGTCGAAATCCTTAGACATGTTTGTGAAGATTGTTTTGTTTACAGCGTGCGTCTCCCTCAGACTGTAAACGAAGCTCGGGCGCACCAGATAACACGTCAGCAGCGTCACAGAACGCGGATTGACAACAGAACCGGAAGAGAATACAATGCTGAATAAAGTCGTAGTTTTTGTTATTTTTGGACCCAAATGTATTTTCGATGCTTCAAAACATTCTAACTAACCCACTGATGTCACATGGACTACTTTGATGATGTCTTTATTTCCTTAAGGACAGTATACCGTACATACATTTCCAAAGAAGGGACAGAAATCTCTCGGACTAAATCTAAAATATCTTAAACTGTGTTCTGAAGATGAACGGAGGACTTACGGGTTTGGAACGACATGAGGGTGAGTCATTAATGACATAATTTTCATTTTTGGGTGAACTAACCCTTTAACATTATTCAAAATATCTTCTTTTGTGTTCCACAGAAGAATGGCATACATGTTGGAACAACATGAGGATAAGTAAATGATGACAAGAGTTCTCTTTTCTTTTTTAACAGCGACATCGTGGTCTCAAGGCTTGATCTCTCAAGCCAAAAATTATTCTGCCCTGCTGATTGATCGGGAACAAAATGATTTTTATAGGCATAAATAACCCTGAAATTCTTTAAGCCTGCCATATGTGTTTCTTGCCTTTTTTCGAGGTACTACTATGTACCGATGACATTTGTGAAGGCTCATTTCCCTGTAATTTTATGCACATTTCGAGGCTCATAGTCAGGAAACAGTTCTGACATCGCAATAAATATGCAATAAAACACCCCTGGACACACATTACACACTCACCCACATAAAAATATCCTCATGATATGATTGTTAACACCTCTCCACCACAGCACAATATTTGAGAGACAATTAAAAACTGATTACTTCTAATGTTTCAGGAGATGGAAGGTTTTCAGACCTGGTCTAAAGACCAGGGTGAGGGACCACTAAGAAAGATGGGAGTCTCTAATCCCATTTGCTGTAGGAGCTGCATAGATGAGAGCCTGTTTTCATGGCTCTCAGTTCACAGCCTCTAGCGGCTCTAAGCGGTTACAAAACACATTAGCACTTTAACTGGCTAGTCATCAATACACGAAAAAGCGTTCAGAGCATTGCCTGCATGTGTTTTTCACAACACTAACGTGACGTGAATCATACTGAAGCTTGTGTAATGGAACATGTAATACATTTAATGAAATAGAGAAAATCAAATGAAATAGCACATTATTGCTGGGAAATTCTAGTGATCATCAGTAATTACTGTTGAAGTGGAAATGTTTCTATAATAATAATTAAAGGCAAAAAATGGAGTGATGCTCACTGACTGTCTTGTGAAGTGAGAGTAGTGAAACACTGCCATCCAGTGTTGAAACATTATCAGTGTGATTTGCAGTCAATACAGTTTAACTACTAAAAATGACCTCACAGTATTTGGGTCTTGAATCAGTTTAATGAGTGCAGTTCCTGCTCAACCTTATGACTTCTTCAAACGGTTCAGGGTTGGTTAAAAGTTCACAAATAGATTTTTTTTGTAACAATGTAAAAAGTCTTTTCTGTCACTTTTGTCAATTTTAGTGCATCTAATCCTGAATAAAAGTATTAAATTATTTACCCCAAATTATCTTAGTGACCCCAAACTTTTGAACAGTAGTGCATCTTTGTTAAATAGAGCACAAACATGTATATTTGGAAAACCCACACTGGACCACTGTGGACTGCAAATTAGTACCACACAACCCAAAATATCACACTTTTTTTTTTTTATTTAGAGAACATTAATCAAAAATATAATCAAAATGTCAATTTTATTTCAGATTTTAAAGCTGTATTGATGAGTATTGAATATGTTAGAAACAAAGAGGCACAACGACATGAAGAACACACATCACGTAATAACAAAAAATAAAAGCTGACACCACCTTCAGCCAAACCACAGATTTGGGAGCAAATAGAAAAAAAAAATTGGTTACATCACATTATGGTATTTTTCTGAACTGTCTTTTCTCGTCTTATTACAAAATACAAAAGCGCAACCATCCCAACACACTTTACTCATTCAATATTGACAACACTTTAGCCAATGATTTCACTGTAACTCGCAACCAATGCATCAGCCCCTCTGGTTAACATGATAACTTATTAATTTGAAAACAAAATGGCAAATGATTTTTTTTCTCCATGAATTTTCATAAGGCTGCTTGGTTTTTATTCATTTGTGCTTGTCGACAGTATAGGCAATTTGTTTAGAATAAAGGTCTGCTTTCTTTACATTGCAGTAACTTGGAGGGAATGATTATGTAAATACACCCAAGTATTAACATCAAGTCCTTAAATAAATGTAAACATATACATCTTTAGAGGTCAGAATATTGACCCACTTCACTTAAAACCATTACTGGAGCATCGTTCGGATATTTTTTGGAGTAGACTCATCATTTAGGTGTTTTGTGGTGAACCTTTGAAAAAAAAAAAAAAAAAAGATTTAAAAAATAAATACAAACCATGGTATCTGTCTTTAAGATCAGGAAGGGAAACTTACTTGAGGGCATTAAGGAGACCTTCAACATTATCTGCTGGTTGATCTTTTAAGACTTTAATGCATCCTTTCATCTAGAAAAAGTATGTACATCACATATTACGATGGAAAATGTGTCATTTTAAACACAATCAAATGTGGAAAAAATGTTTTGGTTGATTGAGAAAACATGAGAATGTAGACTTACATCAATTTTTGAGGATTTGTTGAAGGCACCGTTAGGATGCACATGGTCATAGAGGATAATAACCCCCACCATCACCCTCATACAAAACAGAAGTGTATCTTCACTGTTGAATCGACTCGTGTACTCTCTGTTAGCAGAAGAAGAGCTTATTGTTACAATAGTATACTTCAATACAGGCATTTCACACCTTCAGACAAATTCATTTCCATGGTCTTTCCAGTCGTCAATGCTTAATCAACAGAAAAGCATACTTGACTGCCACCCAAAGCGGTTTTCTTCAGCGGACAGACTGATGTTATCAGCAAGTTATTACTGTACACAAGCAGCCACCAATAGCCGTTGAAATGTTTGAGCATTTTACATTTTAGAATAGAAATTCCCATGATTTTATTGGATTGTTTTTAAGGCATCTGATAAAGACATATATGAAATATGATGTTAATTAAAGCAGCAATATTAAAAAAGCAATGAGGTACTCACGGTGTCTCCAGCATGACCTTGCATACACTTGCCATAGTACTCAGGCAGTCTGTGGTGTTCTCAAGAGGTAATGTCTTATTCTACAGAAAAAAGAATTATGGGAATAATTCAAGCAAACATTTGTATATGGATATTACTTATGTATATTGATTTTTATGAACTACTGTTCAAAAGTTTGCGATTAGTAAGGTTTTTGAAAAAAGTCTCTTATGCTCACCAAGGCTGCATTAATTTGATGAAAAATACAGTAAAACAGTAATATTGTGAAATATTATTATTTAAAATAAATGTTTTTATTTGAATATATTTTAAAATGCAATTTATTTTATGTGATGGTAAAACAGAATGATTTCTGAAGAATCATTTGAAAATTCAAATATAGTGCAAAGAAACATTTGTAATTATCAATATTGAAAACAGTTGTCCTGCTTAATATTTTTGTGGAAACTGTGATAAATATTTTCAATGAATTCATGAGGTTCAATGAATTATTTGAAAGTTTAAAAAAATAGCATATATTTAAAAATATAAAAGTTGATCAATTTAATACGTCTTTGCTGAATAAAAGCATAAATATGTCTTTAAAAAAACATTATTGACCCCAAACTTTTGAATGGTAGTGTTCTACAGTATTTGTGATGAAAATTAAAGAGCTAAAATTGTGACTGTAGAAAAAGCGAGAGAATGAAGAATATGAATAGAATGTAATAGAAAGACAGCAGGCAGTACCTCCGTCACAAAGTTTGTTGTTGCCGTGCTCAGGGTCTTCAGCATAGGTGTGGCTTCAGCATAGAACAGAGACATTCTGTTTGCCATTTCATTATTGACCTCGTTTTCAATATCGAGCTTGATACAGGAAAAAAAAAAAAACACAAGCACATGAACATTGAAATTGCAGTTCACAGAATATTGCACGTCATGTCATGACTCATGTTCCTGCACTTACATTCATGTTGTTTAATCTGTTTCGACTGATTGTTCTTCTGTAGTAGCTGAAGTCGTTCTGGATGGCTGGAATTCTCATCTAAACAAATTACACATTTTAATAAGTAATTCCCAGAACAGAGCAATACATAGTTTTTTTTTTTTTATTCCCGGAATATGAAAATTGGTGTGTGACAAAAGCATTGAATCAGCTGGCACCTTAAGCTCATCAAAGCGGAGGGTGAAATGCAGGATTTCGGCGAACTGTTTAGCAAGGGCCTGCTCCCTCTCCAGGTGCTGAGTAGGAGTGTACGGCGGACACGTCAGAGACTCCAAAAGGCTCTTCAGCGCTTCCTCTACATGAAAGAGAGGAGAGAGGATACACAGAGCTTACGTTACATTTTTACTGGTCAAGGAGAAAATAATGCACGTCTATAGGTAAATCTAAATGAAAAGTGTACCTAGTTTCAATGAAAAAGCATAGAACTTCTTTAGGCGGATGACAAGGGGACACACAGAGTTCCAAGCCCTCTCCTGAAGGAGCATGTCATTAGGATTCTGTATTGCCTAAAATGACAAACAAAGCACATGATTTAAAGTGGCATGAGAAATACAACCCACAAAATGCTTTAAACACAACTGACTGACCCACAAAGCAAAAGTAGAAATATTACAATCGGACGTACATCTCGTATTTCCTGACCCGCCCCCTTGTAGGCTTGCAGGCCGGTCAGGATGCTCTCGGACTCCTGGAGAACAGCATTCACCTGGTTCCACACCTCTCTCTCACAGTCTGTCGGCTGTGCGTCTGACACAAACAAACTTCATTATGCACTGCCAAACACTAGTTAATACATGCAATGAATTTCACTGCATTAGATATAATACCAAACCAAGTGGCATCTGCAAACAAATGGAGGATAGAGCTTTTTTAGCTCTACATATCTCCAACAGACATTTTCACCATCTCATTTTTAGTAGGTCTGTAACTAAGTCAATATTTATTTTATTTTACTCCATTTCACATTCTCCAGTTCACACAGGTGTCCTAGAATTATAACCACCACTAAATTTGACAACCAGAAAGTGGCCAAATACTTCACTTTTGATCTAAACAGGGCAAATTAGCAAAAACACAAATGGGAGTGGAAAGTTCTGCGCGTGATCTACTGATGACACAAATTAAAGAACACAGATGCAGTCAGATCATTTTCATAACGACCAACGTAATCTACCAAGAGCAACGCAAATTAGCGTCTGGTTTAAGACATGCTTTTTTAGGCGGCAGGCTAAATAATGGCTCAAATACCAGTAAATTGACGAGCGCAAACCTTAGTCAATCACCTTGCACGATTCATTTAAATACTCTCCTACCATAAATTTTGTGTCTGAAAAGGAAACTCCTACAAATGCATTGCAATAAGGTCAGCCGCAAAAATAACCATGTCCACACCTTTTCTGCACTAATTTTTCACTGCGTCTCTTCAGTAAATCCTGACAGTTTTTTAAAGTCAAAAGAGGGTTTGTGCTAGCGCAAGCTGTTAGTTAATCTTTTTGTCAAGTTTTGTCTAGTGAAATGGTTTGTGTTTGTCATTTTTCTTTAAAATAAATGACACTTGGTTTGATATTTTGTCATCTAATGTAATATAACATTCATACATTAAGTTGCGACTTAAGCACCCAAATATTTTTAGGGGTACTGTATAGTCACAACAAAAACAAACAAACAAATAAATGTGACATTTGCATATAAAAAAATCTTTGCTTTCTTTAAACCAGAGATTCCCAATAATTCAACATTTCACAGAGACTTCAAAAGTAAAGGTTTATGGGTTATTGCCACTGAATCACAGTCAAAAAACAACATCCTGACTTTGGTTAGATCTCTCTCAAAGCTAGCAAATACTCAGGAAATGTTGAACATTTTGGGTAAAGCTCTGTTCAAAGTTTATAGACAGAAAAATAATCAAAGTCCAATGTTTAGTGTAATATAATTGGGTTTGAGTCACACAGGATTTAAATGTTAACTCGACAAGTATACAGAGGGCAAGGATTGAAAGTTCTGAGATTTCAGGAAGACAAAAACAGAGACCAGAAAAATATCACAGAACAAGCAGGAGCTGCAAAGAGAATGGATCATGCAACATAGACATACATAGCCATGTTGGATATGGGGTTAGTTACAAATACTGATTGGCAAGTCATGCACATTTAGGCTGCCAACAACAAATCAGATTTTCAGAATCTTCTTCGTATTTGAAATATGAGTTTTTAGAATTTAAAGACTATGTAAAAAAGATGAGACATGCAAACATATTGCCGTCATCTGCACAAAGCATTTGCACATGCAAAAGCATTGTGAAGCTCTGTTTTGCTGTTGCGTTATGACGAGCAGATTTTCAAGGACAATTCTGACAATGGTACTTGCAAAATGTTAGTAGCTGGAAAAAGTGACAGACACCAGGCCAGGCAAAAGCTCTGCTCACTTTCAAAGTCAAGGAAAAAGTTTGGCCCCTGATCAAGCTCTGTGCAAGTGAGCACTTTTAACAGATTCCCCATTGGTTTCTGAAACAGAAAAGCAAGAAGAGAAAGAGAAGAAAAAAGGCAGAAAGAGACAAAAAGAGAAAGGTGTTGCACGTCAAAGACAGTAATCAGGAAGTCAAGCTGAGCGTTAAAGATTGATTCTCAAGCTCCAACATACAGAATTCCCTCAGCTTGTCATGGTGAACATGGACAAAATAGATTTTTTTCTCTTTATACTTTGAGAAATCAGCTATTTTTTTGGTAGTTAAATCACAGGACAAGCTTTTAGACAAAGTGTCAGTGCAACTGCTTTGGGCTGCGTTTCCCAAAAGCATTGTAAGTTGACCTTAGAACAATTGCCACCAATGGTCTCAACGATCAACTTAGGCTAACAATGCTTTTGAGAAATGCAGCCCTGGCCAGCAGGAAGCATAAACGTTCACTAAAAGAAAGCAAAGAGGGAAAACTGTCTCATAAGAGCTTTGAGACCATCAGTTCAGCTCCTCCTGCCACTGTCGGGGGGAAAAAACAGCTGGTTAAAGAGTCTTGCCAACCCCAGACTCCACCTCTACTCAAAACTTACTTTCAAAGTCCAGGAAAAAATGTGGATAGTTCTCTATTTCCCTTGTAAGGACTTTTAGAAGATTACCCATTCCAGCGAAACCTAATCAAGATATAATGATGAAAAAACAAAAAAACAAAAACAAAATGAATCACAATAAAAAACAGTTACTTCATTAACAATATGGCGAGAATGGTGAGAAATGCAATTAGAGCTGTAATATACTAATTGTTTAACAATAACAGAAAATGTTTCAGTAACATTTTATAGAAAATCTAAATTGGCACATAACTGATGGATAAATGGTGTATGCTTGTAGTGTTACTTCTAGCTATTTTTAATGCAACATGTGCATATGTGAAAGCAAGCCTTTTAATAACCACCAAAAGACTGAACTACAGGAAAAGCATGTAGCACACAAGAGACTTTGTTGATTGACAAACATTGTCAATTTTACTTTGCTCTTCTCATTTGTACTTAAGAGATTGTTCACACACACACACACACACACACACAGCCAGAGGATAAAATAGTTTGTAGTAAATTCCGTCATTTCAAATGAGGTTATAACAGCTGTTTTAAATCACACTTGACTCCAGTATTGTTATCGAGTAACTGAGATGCTTCATCATTTCAAAGTTATAACTGTACTCTATTACAGCATATATATCATTACGCCGACAGGCACAACAAGTGCATAATCTATAAACACATGATTTGGTTGTCCACATGTTGCCAGAGCACATGGGATTGGGACGGTGACATTATGTGTCCCAAATGACGCACTATACACTATGCAGTATGCACTTTGTACTCTACAGTGTAGTGAATGTAAGGTTATTTTGTCATTCAAAATTGGTCCAATAGCTCCTCCCCCTCCCGCTATGTAATAGCTGCAACAGTTGAGTGCATGAAGTGTCAAACATTCCACACTTAGGCCCTGTCCCAAATGGCAGCCTAAGCACACGAGGCCTTCCTATGAGTCCGCACTTTCGTGATGTAACGCCGCATTGACTGTCAAAAAGAAGTCTGCTCCGGAGCTCGCTGCAGTGTGGCCTCTGCAAATATGTGCATGGAGGGTGCATATCGACCGCAAAAGGGGGCGCTCATGACCACCCTTCTGAAACCCAAAATGACAAACGGGACACCCTAAGGTCTCATGGACTTAACGGACACGCGGCAGCCATTGTAAGTCGACAAGATATATGAAGTGTGCCATTTGAGACAGTGCCTTCGTTTTTTCGGTTAAATTAAGTGCATCATCCGGGTATTTAAAATGCACTTGTCTTTAAGTTTTTCTTTTTGGAATTTTAAATGTGAACACTACTCGCACTATATATATACACACTACAAAACAGCATACAATAAAGCAAAAGTATGTGAATTGGGATGCACCTATGGTTTCTGTCAGTGCTACAAAGGTGATCATTGCTGTAATGCATTGAAGTCATCACGAAACAAAATTGTAATAGTCTTTTCTTCTCTATAGGCTTTATGCTGAACTTCACATGAATAAACAAGAAAACAGTTCTCATCATTGCATCCGCTTGTCAGAGAAAGTGTTAACAGCAGTACGAACTGACGGTGTACAACGGTATTTTTACCGTTGGCGTTTTATGCGATTTAAATATCAAAATGTTAGTGAGAAGAAAAATAAAAAACTTTTAGATATCAACTTGCATATGGGATGGAAATCGGTTATGCGCATCTTCGCTCGCTCCTTTGAAGGTAAAAAGACCCAAACCGGAAGCAATGTGACCCGTTTTACAGATTACAGAAGTTTATTGATCATAACCCCTATTGTGACGTATAGAGTATACCAGCTTCATGAACGAGAAAAAGAAAAAAAAATGTAGGACGGACAGGGCTTGATTTTATGCATTGGAAATCGATTGAATCGTCACTAATTGCTGCGATTGACAGGCTGGAGGGGGAGGGATTATTGTCATGCCCTTTAACTGGTGCACAAAGACTAAAAAATGATGAGGGCACATGAATTTAAAAAATAATGGGCACAGACAAATCATTTATAACAAATGCTGCAATTTCTTGGTGACTTAATATATATGGCAGTGCCTGTGTCTTCTCACTGCTCCAGCAGAGGGAGCAAGTGCTCACTATAATAATATCATCATTATCTGGCAATAGTGTCAGTGAATCTCAGCTTCTGACAGCAGATGTACAGTAGTGGAGAGAGACATGGCACTTTCATGAATCTAATTTCAGCTAGGATATTTATTAAATTGGTGGTTGAGTGTGTAGCACATCTATTAGTAAGTTAAAAAAAAATAAAAAAAATAAAAACATAAAACCGCAACCTCTTTTGAACAAAGTTACATACTTAAGTCAGTTTGATTCTCCAGATGCTCTTCTGCACAAGAGGATGTGAAGACAATACCATTTCTGCTGTATGTGGTTAACCGCCACACATGAGTGGAGGCGATTCAAACAAGCTTCCTGTCAAACCTAAAGTGCTCCAACCATCGGAACTGCACTTGCAAAAGCATGAGAAACCGTCACTCTGGTGGCTGTGAAACAAAGCGGGCACAGAACAGTCTGGCCATTTCTACGCCATGTCTGTGTGAGCGTGCATGTGTGATGGGCCCATCATTATGAACCCTATTCATTATACAGAGTGAATCATCACAGTACAACATGCACAAACCCAGCACTCTCTGCCCACATTCTAATCTGCATATTAAAAAACATTATAAATGCATCTGAAAACCCATGCACACAGGCCTTGACCTGCTTTAGCAATGAGGTGACCTTATGTTGTAAAAATGTTGGAGGAGCTATGGCAGTCGTTTGTGCAGTGTAATGAAAACCAATTCAGTTTGTTCCTTGACGAATATTTCACAAGTGCTCTTACATGCTTTTGAGAGGTACGAGTACATGTTTGATACCGGAATAACCAGGAAAGTTGGCGAGGGAGTGTCACACAAAATAACTTCCTGTTTAAAGAAACTAGAGTAAAAACAAACAGCCTAATTTTAATAATTGGTGCAGGATTTAGTTCATGATAGTACTAGCTGCACGTGTATGGTTTTAAAATGTAAACTAATAACAATGTTTTTTGTCACAGGTAGAAGAGAGGGATAGTCTTATTAGTCCACCCAAAAATAAAAACTCTGTCATCATTTACTCGCCCTTATGTCGTTCCAAAATTGTATGACTTTTCTTCTGCTGAACATAAAATAAGATCTTTTGGAGAACATTGTGAATCAGGCAACAGAGGAGCCCATTGATTTCCATTCTATGGCCCAAAAAAAAGAGACATTTTTCAAAAGATCTTTTATGTTTCATAGAAGAGAGACATTTATACAGGTTTGGAACTAAAAGATAATGAGTAAGGTGCAAGAATTTTCATTTTTGGACAAATTCAGCCCAACACTGGATGTACATTAACGCTGAGACCCCCATGGCTTCTGGAATAAAATAAAATCAAAAGCGTCTGTCCTTCGCAATTAAACCATGTATGCTGCAATTAAAGGCCATGCAAGCAGAACAATAATCCACTTTATCCGTGGCTGAAAAGACCTCTGTTAGCCTCTGCCTGCTGAGCAGCTCATAAACAGAGCAGTAAATGAACTTTTGCATCTCGGCTGGGCTTAAACAGAGCTTGCTCTTGCTCAGGTCCTGCATACAGCCGCAATACTAACAACCTCACAAATTACTGGTTTATTCACTTCCTAATGGGGTTCCCACAGTGAGCGTGTTTGTGTTTATCAAATCCTCATGTTACGAGATGCACCGGCCTACACTACAACACTTCCTGCTTTGTAGAGGCTACACACCACAGCTCTCATTCAGAGTTTACAGCAGTTGTTTGTTGTAATAACGTCTGGCTGTTTCTAAGCTCATTTGCTTACGCAGAACGGTTACATACTGTGGCAAGAGGAGCAGAGTTTATTGAGTCTATGCCGATTGCCGACACGGCAAACAAGCCTAATCGAAGTGTAATTGTGACTGTAGATCTGATATTGCCGTTATTAACATGATGCCTCTCAGTGAAGGCTGTTCAGCGTTACCTTTTCTGGAGGAGAATGTATGCTTGCTTTTAGATCATCCACTTGATTCTTGATTCTGAAAAACAAAACATACAGAGCCAAATCAGTCAAGTTGTGTTGAATGAGGAAAACAAAACCACATATTTTGTATCAATCTGACAGCATAAAATGTAAACGGTAATTGAACACGCAAACTGTTTCTCACATTACAAGCAAGTTGTGATAAAAATCATCTCACTATAAATGTGTATATACTGCAATCTAGTTTGAATGCACCGCTCTCTTATTGGGGAAACAAATAACTGTTGGGGAAACAAGATTGCAATGTGCTAGCTAATGATTATAAACAAACAATGACATGAATCTCAATCTCACAGTGAGATTTAAAATGCACTTCACAGCTGTTTTATGTTAACTGGGGGATTAAATATCTAGAGAAATTTCAGCCAAGTGTAACTAATGACAACCCAAAAACACTGGAGGGCAGGAACCATCAGAGACACTCTCTAAAGAGGCTCATATGCACATGACAGCAATGCATACTGTTTCTACAGCACCTTTCTACAATGTGGTATGGTTATCATTGGTTGTTAAAATGAGTCTTTCAACACATCACAGACAAATCATAAGTGCTTATGTAGCCTACATCTTCAACAATACGGAAAAGGAAAACAAACAACATTCAAACAGCAGCAGCATGCAAAGAATGGCAAAAAACAAAAAAACTTGTCACACAAGTTAACCTGCCAAATTAACAATCCATTGGTCAAGGAAAAAGGAAGCTGCCTTCATGATAAAGTCATCTACAAAGCAGGTCTCTAGAGCTCCCCTGACAAAAGACGGGCTGATATCAACACGTGTTGACCTTTTTCCCTGCGAAGGCTTGAAATTAGCTTTCTTTCCTCCTTTGTCAGCACAAACTGATACTCACGGTCACCCTCCCACCAGACGGCGTTCTTGTTACACGTTCTTTCCTTGATTTTCTTTTGAAGATTAAGACCACTGATCCCAGTTAAAACAGCGGCCTCTTCTGCCCTCACGCATCGCAACGGTGCTCATAAACCCAGACCTTCTAATAGACAGATCGAGAGATAAAGAAGTGCCTCCCTCTGGCTCGACTCCCATCTGTCAGTGTGCATAGTGCTCACACTCCCCCCCAGACCCCACGGGGACTCTGCCATGGAGTCACACGCCCTTATATGGGCATACGGCTGCTCAACGCATGAGCCGGATGAGTGGTCTTCCCTTCCCTCCTCCTCTGCACCTTTCACTCACTAAAGAAGTCATCACTGTACGCCTGTCTTCTCCATGCTCTGCAAAACCAGTGGAATTTCTGAATGAAAAACACCGTGATAGACAAATTCTTTCTGTATTTTTGAATCAACTCCATATTGGTACCAAAAAGTGCACAGTATCTTGGTAGGATCTTCTTTAGCCCGCGATGATCTGGGTCAAAGCAGCATGGGGATATTTCATCTGTGGTATTTCCCTCTCAGCAGGTCCAGGTATTGGAATCAGGAAAAGAGAATTCCCAGAGAATAAACATGTTTTTCAGAACTCGCAATGGAATTTTCCAGTGACCCCAATAACACAAGCTGCACTATGCTGCTGAATAGCAGTTATCATTTGAGATTAAACTGAAAGGATGAATCAGGGAGAGTCCCGGCTCTCAGATTATCAGCGTTCAAATGGAAAATTTCCGCTCAGTTTATGAAATATCAGAATCTCTGCAACAAGCAGAAATTCAAAAATTGCGTAAATTGAAGAAAAAAAACATTAAAATAACAAGAGCTGTGGAATATAATATTTTTCTATGATGCATCACGAAGTTGATGTCAATGATTCTGCATCGAAGGATAAAAACTAAATAATTGATTTTTTTTTTTATGTAATGAAGTAGGCCTAGCATAAAATATTATTATTTTGAAATACTTATTTTTAATAACATTTTGTGATAATTAATATAGTAATTGTTATTAATAAAGGAATTGGAGGAAAAGATGCATCAAGAATTGTTTTCTAATCTAATCGTGAGGCAAGTGAAGATTCACACTTCTAGAAATAACATTCTTTCCAGAAAAACTGGGCTGCCACACACATGCATAAATAAATCTGCCAGGATGCCAATCTCCATGACAACACAAGGACTATTGCACAGCAAAGCACATTTGAGTAACAGCTTTCCTCTGAGGCAACTGCAGTATGATGAACACTACGTCCTGACCTATAATCAAGGAGGTAGCGAAGTCTGCATCATTCTTGGCTGAACCTAGCATGGAAGGTTTTTAGATGATCAAAACAAGATCACATTCTTGGATAAGTACATCATAAATTCCATCACATACTTGGCATTAGTTATATATATAAAAAAAGGTTTCCCATGTACACAGGGAAAGGAGTTTAAAGACCCCATTCATAGAGAGCCAGTCAGGTTTCAGAAGTAAAAATGTTATTCATTTTATCCACAAGGAAATAAATTAATTATTACTCATAAACCTGTAAAGACAGACTTACTGTGAGCTATGAAGTTGTTAATTGATAGTATTTGCTTCTGTTGATGCCATTAGCCTGCATTATTTCAACTTAGTTTTAAAAATAATCATGTTTAACAGCAGAATCTGTGGTGAAAACTACATGATGCTGTACAGAAAATTCCACCAATCGCAGTCGAAAAAGCAAAACGAGCCAAAAGATCTCGTTAGCTGCGCCCACTCCTATCAAGCACCACAAATGACGTAATAGAGGGTATGCACGTGACGTCACCGTCGGCCTGGGTGACTGCGGTTAAGCCCACTGAGTGGCAACAAGACTGAGTGGCAGCATTGGTTTTCAGCGTGAATGCCACGAAAAACACACAAAACACATCTAAAACGGGAAAGACCTTTAAGATTGACTGTACAAATAGATTTGACAAGAAATCTGAGGTATATTTTAACAGACTGCCGAAAGCTATAGAAAAGAGAAGCAAATGGATCACTGCAATTCACAGAAACAACTGGACTCCAGGCAGCGAAATGTGGATTTTTAGTTACTTGAGTACCTATAGAGTAGTAATGCATCCTTCATATCTCCAAAAAGTCTTTAGTTTTATTATTTTTATAAAAGAAAGATAGGCTGTACCAAGTCTTTCCGGAAAAAAAACGAGCGGGTGGAGGCGTGCCGTGTGGGCGGAGCTAAATAATCACGAGCGCGCGAAGCTTTTGCGTTGAGAGCATCTGGAAGCTGTGACATCCCAAAACAAACCATGGCTATGGCTAACAATCAGATTCAGCCATACATTTTTGATCCCGAATCAGATCCCGAGGCTGAAATTGAAGACGAGCAGCAACGACTACAGCAGGACGTCTCTATGTGGTGTGTACTGGAACTGTATAACTTATATTTGCTTAGCGGTTTCTGTAAATGACTAATTTTCACTTTTTTTCTTCATCATTTTTTTTCTTCAAAGGTGTACATGTGGGAAGTGTAGTTTGATGCCGACTGAGGCGGGAGTTTTTTAAAAGTAGAAATGATTTGAACTTGAGCGCAGTGTTTTTAAAACACCATGTCATGCGCGAGTTATAACTTACAACATTTGTGTGTGTTTACTCGTGGTATATGAGGACATGATTTGGATTTACAATAAACAAACAGACACCTACAGTGGCCAGCTAAACAAATGTATTTAAAGACATTCTTGAACAAATCCTATGCAGCGCTGCCGATGATTTCCTGTTGAAGCGCGTTGATGTGCGCGGTCTCGCTCTTTTCTGGTACACGTGTGTGCGGGCGCGCTTTTCCGAGAGAAATGCTCATATAAGGAGTTCCACTCTCGTCTACGTCATTAGATCCACGATCGAAAAAAAACAGCCGGAACTTGTACCAACCCGGAAGTAAGATAGATTTTCGGCACAGAAATTCTCCGTTATTCGTCCAAAAAAAACTTTGGCCATGTTTAGCATGAGAATCAATCTCTTTAACACTGTAAACAACTCTGAATACATGAAACACCATTGTGTGAAACACCAACACTCTCCAGTTAAGAAGGGCATTCAATTAGTTCATTTGTCAAATAAGAGGCGTTCTAGCGCTGAAACGTGTTGTTTTGTAAATCAAGCTGCTGAGCTTGTTGCCGCTGCTATCAGTGGCGCGGATACAGTGTTCTCTTGTGGCTCGCGCACAGTCTTCAGTCGGACGTCCGCTTCAATCTATCGCCGTTGCAGAGACTGAGGTGAAATTACAAAACAAAATGCACACAAACGTGTCCCTGCTTGATATACAACCACTGATAAACATATTCGGTTTTGATGAGAAAAAAATAAATAAATACGAGTGCGGATTAGAATCCACGCTTGGCAAAAGTTCTGCCACTAGACCATGAAGGTACACATGCGATCTATGGATTTATTCATGTGAAAATTTTGGCACTAACAATATTAGTAGATCTCATTAAATGGCAAATTAAACCCAATGTACTACTGAAATTGATTTATGACCATCGTAATGTTATTTTTTCCGAAAATTGTAATTGTACACATATATTGCAGAAATATCTTAGTATTGTATTGCAACCTCACACCCGTATCATCAGTGCTCGGATTCGCTTCCATGGTGCTGTTAAGTACGACTTGCAGTCTGTGAGGTAAACTAAACGCTATTGGCTATTTGGAAAGGGGGAGGAGCCATTCGATATCCCCCGCCTTAGCTTCCTGTTTTAGTGGAGATTACGTCAACGCATCATACAAAGCTGCACGTTCCAAGGCATTTCAGTGGGCCTTTAATATTTTTATCCGATTTTCAAGATTTTTTTTGCTTTAAAGTTTGTAATGTTATGATATACCTCATGGATTGGTTCATCACAACTTATAACTCCAAAGCGAGAAATGAATGGAAAAAATACTTCCAACACCGCTAAAAAAGTGGACGGGCACTGTTGCACAATCTTAGCTTTGAGGTCTTCTAGGTAGTAATATAATCTCTTTCAGCAGACATACACATCTAAAATCTTCAAGTAAAATGGACCAAAAACAGTTGTGAGTATGACACATTCAACGCCAGACAGTAATACCAAATAGCAAATAATGTTCATCCCAGCAT